GGACTCCCAAGGCGGGGTGTCACTCTGCTCGGCCAACCCCCCAGCCAATGGCCTGGAAGCATCTGGTGAGGGATGGAGCCAAGGAAGCTGCTTTCGGCCAATCAAGAGGGGGCGAAGGATAGTGGGAGGCTGGGAGGGGGGAGGTCTTCCCCTACCCTTGATCTGGGTTGTCTGGAGACGAGTAGGTCTGGGTGGATTGCAGTGAAAGGGAGGGGGAAGCAAAGCATTGAAAATTTACTGCTGAATGACTCCCCCCCACCCCGAATGCTGCCTGGAGGAATCTGGGAACTAAAGTCCAAGAAAGTTCAGTTTTCTAATAGTTTTGAAAAGAAAGCTTCCTGGTTGAGAACATTCTGGGAACTGTAGTCCTCAAAAAGTAACTTTTATGGGCATGTCGACTGGAAGGGTCTAGCACCCTTGCAAACAGGCACACGGCGATGAGATTTCTAGCTATACACTTGCTGGAGGATTCTGGGTGTTGTGGTCCCAAACCACGTAACTTTTTCATCCCTGCAGCTGGCTGGGAAGGTTGAAAACAGCCAATTGTCTTGTGGCATCTTTAGGAGGGAGATGTTTTATCTCTCACCAGCTTTTGGAGGACCTGACCCATTTCCTCAGATGCCCCCAGCAAAATATTCAAGGCCACAGGTGTAGATGCAAACCTAAGGAGGGTGAAACAGAAGAACAGGAGATACAGAAAAGGACCAGTGTATTCATTCACTCCGTTTCTAAGCTTTGAGAGGAGTCATCATGAGCCTCCTGGCCGTGTACGTGAGGTCAATTACGCATCAATTACCTTCTGAGTGTTAAAAGGGGGGTGTCTAGTGAGTGTGTGTTTTATGGTGAAGGCAGAAGTGACCTGTTTTGTCTCCTAGTGCTGTTGGCAGGTGGAGAAGTCTTCCTGTTGCGGTCCCCAATCTTGGGTCCCCAGATGTTTTTTGGACTACAACTCCCAGATATCTTGGCCAGCACAGCTAGGGGTGGAGGCTTCTGGGAGTTGTAGTCCCAGAAGACGATCTGGGGACTTCCAGTGGTTGGGAACCACTGCAAGACAACACCGTAAGGTAATAATACAGATAAAGCATCACAGATAAATTGATTAATATGTGTTAAGAGACAGCTTGTTGAAGCCAGGAAGGAAACAGTCGGACTGCTAGACGACTTCAGGTTGAGCTCTTTCCTTTGGCGTCTCCTACCACATAAACATGTTAGTTATAAAGCTATCTCCTCGGAAAGGCTTTCATTGCCGGCGATGGAGAGAGCAGGTTGTCCAGCAGAGCTGTACCAGTTACATCTCAGTCTACCTCTTCCCACCCCAGGATAAAAAGAGTAAAGCGTAAAGAGTGACGGCGTTCTTGGGTGAAGGGATTCCTCTGAGTGCATACATGGAGTGTGTGTGTGTGTGTGTGTGTAATCGAACTCCCAACCTCTGGCTCCACAGCCAAGGACCTAAACCCTTGAGCGATCCATTCGGCCACACTTGATCCAGGATGGACAGAGTCCTCCTGTCTTCCTGCTGCAGAATTCTGCTCTAGGGAAGTTCCTTTTAATTTGTCTGGTTAAGCTCCGGGTGACAACTTTTGGCCGGTCTCTGTGGTCTTCAACCTTTTGCATCTTACATCCTTCCAATCACACTATCAAAGAACCTACCTGGGTTCCCCATGATGGAAACAAAAAGACCTCTTTCTGTATAGATTTATAGCCACACTGTTGGTCCGTTTGTGTACAAGTAATGGATAATCAATGACAACGTACGGCCCCACCCTTTTCACGATTTTCCAGGTAAAGAATGCTCCAAAGTGGTTGAGCCTTCCCTTCTTCTGGGGGCAGTTTTGGGACTGCCTGCAGCTTTTTGCCCAAGCCCCCCCCCCCCAGGCTGGCTCTTCTCCCAGGAAGCCCAGTGGGGGGAATCGAACTCCGAAACTCTGGCTCCAACAGCCAGAGACCTAACTTACCGCCAGCCCAGTAAATCAGTTTGTTGAAAACTGAAAATGTCCCACCTAGATTATTTGTTTCTTTCCCTGGTGTTAAAAATGTACTGCAAACTGACAATAAAAACGTATCATTTTAATTTCTCGGCAGCTGCAAAACCACAAAGGGCATGCATGGGTCTTGTTCAAGTGTTATAAATGAGGGTTTCCAACCAGGCCTCTAGTTATGAAGAGGGACCAATCTGTATGAAGATGGAGCCTGCCTTCTTTACTAATCTTTTAGAGATCACTGGAAAGTGAATTGCCTCCAATTTCAAATTACTTCTTCAGAAATCTACTACTTTGTAAAAGAGAACTTGTTGTCGGCTTGTAAGCTTTCTCTCTCTAGGCACATCAAAACAGCAAGCTCAGAACTCTTGTGTCTTCAATGCCCTTAAAGGGTGAACGTTGTGCATTTCAACGGAACCGCTTTTTAGAAAGAGCCAGGCCTTTTAAAGAGCAATTTTAAAATGCTTCTTCCACCTGGTAACCAGATGATAACTGTGTTGAAAACTTCTAGCTGTGGTCATCAGTCTTCTGATGTTATTGGTTTGCATGTCTGTGCATGCAAACACCCAGACAAAATGTATAAAGGCGGGCTGGCTCTTCACTTTGTGAAGTCCCTTCCGCTGCTGTGGATTCTTGTAACAAAGAACCAGATCTTACCACTCAGATAACACTGGAATTACTCCTTTGTTCACTTTCTCCTGTGTTTTTGATTGTGAAGTGTTTTCTTTGCTAAATAGATCTTTGGGGCTCAGATGAGTCTTCTGGTGTGCTCATGGCAGTTCTCTACGTGCTTAGCAAGACAGGGGAAAACTGTGGAAGGGATATCAGCCCAGGCAAAAAGCTATTCTGGTGTCTTTTCCAATTGTTTGTATCTTCCAATTGTTTGTATCTTTGAGCCAGCTTTCATCTGTGCAGACCTTGAAGTGACTAATAATAATAAATAATATGGGAATCATCCATGATTGGGAGGGTCAGATGTGTGTTACTTTCAGTTGAGTACACAACATACAAGTCAATGCAAATCAGCCCAGAATTTTCCCCTGCAATCTGAATTTTTTCCCCCTCTTCCACTGGGACTTCTCCTTTTTTTGCAGTAAATGCATTCTGATCCGTTTGGCCAGCACGATTGCTTGAACCAGCATAGAAGAGCATGCGCAGAGGTGATTGTGGTTGGCAGGTAGGGAGAGAGAAAGCAAAAGGGCACTTGTCTGGGTCAATTCCTCTCGTATATCTTAGGAGATCACCAAGAAAACTTTCGGTCTTTGTTAATAATGCTGTTTCTTTTTTCATTTTTTTTAAAAAAAGCTTGTGCCAACACTGCAATAATGTTGGGCTTTGGCACCTAGGAGACAAAAAGGAGGGAGAGAGGAGGAAATTGTGAATCAGCACTTCTTTGCAGCTTGTTAAGGTAGTTATACTGTAGCCATGTCTCCTGCAAATCTGGATGGCTACAGCAGAAGCCACCTTAAAAAGCTTCAAACAAGAGCTGATTGTCAATTTCCTCCTCCTCTCTCTCTGCTAATGTTGTGTGGTCAGGTAAAGCAAATTCACTCAGGAAAACCAGGGGCCTGGCTTCCCAGTGGGCCCATTCATATTTTTCCCGTTGTGTAGTGACATCCCTTGTTTGTTTGTTTTTAATTCCTAGCAAACCCGGCAGCAAAATTTATTTAATACTTACATGATGGCTCCTATCCACTTTCAGTGCTCTCCTGTCCAAGCAGGAGGACTGGCTGTGGTCTATAAGACGGCTACAGCCTGCTGAGAGGGATCTCGCACGCAAAGCTGCAGCTATGAAATATAGCCGGGGCAAAACCACTGTAACCATGAACGGAAGAATACCAGCACCTTGCACTGCAGTTGGTCTCTCGTCTCTCCCCACTTTATTTGTTATGGCACTAAAGTTGGGTTGAAGTGATTAAGCTCTCCTGACATTGATAGGCTGGCCATCCTCTCTTGCCCTGTACTTAACCAATTTAGATCCTCCAGTACCCGTCCATTAAGGCTTCCTGGAGCACTTTCCCAGCTTGGCAAAACGGCCGGCCATGGGGCTCTGGTTACAGCCCTTTCCGGAGCCTAAGTAAATGTCAACTCTCAGACGCAGAAGACCTGAAGGCAGGTGGTCCTGACAGCTTCCCAGCCTGCCTGTCGTGTGCAGTTTTCTTTGATAGCCCAAGAAGACCCCTGGCGTGGCACAGGTGACCTGACAAGATAGAGCGGAACCATTCAAAGAGTGTATATTTTTAGAGAGAGAGATGCAGCTGTTTTCTTGAAATACTGGCTGCCAAAGGACATTATTTTTGGCTGGGGTTCAGGTTCGCCCACCTGCTGAGTAAACAACGGGGCTGTGCGTCAACACCAGTCCTTACTTTTTTGGGAACGCAGCTACCAAAATATCCTAGCCAACGTAACAACACACACACAGACACACAAACAGACACACAGACACACAGACACACAGACACACACACACACACACACACACACACACACAAGCAACTTTTCCA